ATCGCCTTGGTTTTTTAAAACCCCGGAAAAAAACCGCAGAAAGCCCTGCTGAAAAGTTGTGGTTTGCTCACACTCATCTTTGAGCTCCTTTCCTCCCCCCCCCCAAGTAGACTGAGTCATGAATTTGGGGTTAGCAGTACCAGGATACATCTGGCGAGGGAGAGCAGATTTGTCATGCTCCTAGATATTCCAGGAATTTGTTTCTGGGGATGAAAAGCCAGCAAGGCGGAAGTTCAAGGTAGATAGTGTGCACCGAGAAGGGCGCAGCTGAGCATTTACAAGCAGGCAGCTTGTCCTTAAAAACAGCACGAGAGGAGCGACAGATTGGTTGTGGTTGAACGCTAAGACTAACTTTGAACGATTGCTTGGGCGAAGACCATATTACCCTTGGACTTTCTGCATCTCTTCCTGCTGGAGCCGATGTCCATGTCTCCCACCCCTGAACTTCCCGGGCCATCTCTTCAGATACTTGACCATAGAGTCATGGTCTCTATCAAAAAGGAGACATCACCTTCAACTCAAGTCCCACCTCATCTTTGATAACGCACTCAGCTCATTGAAACGTCCTTCGATGTCAGCTCGTATTTCCATGTGGCCATTTCAGCTTTCAAGATGAAAGGCATATTTCTGTAAACGTACAATACTTTTTGGGGAAGATAAGGCCTCCCTCCCCCCCCCCCCATTTTTGTAACTTGAGTATTCAGGGAAGAAAATGAGAAAGTGTGGATTTTTGACAGAAAGACTTCTTGGCAAAGCAGCAGGTATGACGTAGATGGGGGTCAGCTGCAACTTCCGGACAGCTGAATGGAATGGAGAGATTTTTTTTTAAAACAAATCCTCTTCTTGACTTCAGTAGGTTGCACAGTTCTCCCACACACACACCCCACACCCCCCCCAGTTTCAGGGCAGTACTTTGAATTAGAGAGGCAAGGGGAAGGAAAAAGAAATGACTCTTGGGAGCTCCCATTAGAGACTATAGAGAAATGTTATGAACAGGTAGGAAATGCACAGCTTGGCAGAAGGATTAGCGGACAAGGGAAAGCCCCAGAGTGGATGGAGAGGCTAGACAGCCTGAGGAAAGATAGAAACTCTGGGAGCGTTACAGGAAAATTATGAGATTTTTCCAGCAGAAGAGTATGGTAGATGAGGAAAAAGGGCAGGGGGAGTGTCGTCTTCATATTGAGGGTGCCACACCCAGAATCTGCGAAGGATCATACTTGGTGCTTTCATGCAGACATGGAGAACGTAGAGGTAAGACGCAGCGTTGCGCTTTGTGGGATAGGCACCACGCAGCCACCGCTCATCAGCATCTTCTTGAATGACCTCTCCGAGCAGAACAGAGCCCTCCAGGTTCTCAGTCTGGCTATTACGGTCAGCCATCTCAGACTGCCCCCCCCCGGTCAGTTCAGAGAACGCTGCCCGTCCCAGATCCTGGGCGGTTGCTCCAAGGAGCGTTTGGCGCTCCGCAAGCCTCCACGCTCTGCCATGCTCAACTGCTGGGTTTTCAGGAGCAAAGTAACCACAAGTGAGCCGTTCCCTGTTTGTCTGGTGGGGCTGTCAGGCTGCAACTGGGTAACTCTGCCCACTCATACATGGGGTTGTATATTGTCCTGACCCACGGCCTCTGAGAAGTGACATTACATTTTCTTGCACTGCCCTTGTCCTTAAAAAAATATAATGCCTGGCCTGTGTGTGTGTGTGCGTGCGTGCGTGCGCAGTCACATTTTATAGCCCTGTTTGTTGTAGTCCTCTGCCATATGTGTTGTGTTGATATTCTCTGTTACTTTACCGAAGGCTGAGAAACTCTTCCTTTTCTTTCCCCCCCAAGATTGTGTATATATCGAGAGCCGTCGGCCCAACACGCCCTATTTCATCTGTAGCATTCAAGACTTCAAATTGGTAAGCAGCAACAACCGTTTCTCGCTTTACCTCTCTCTCTCCCTGAATGTCATTTTTCTCTGGGCTGAGACCCATCGGCCATGAACGCCCGCCTGCCGAGGGTTTTGTGGGACCCCGTATTTGTGACGCTGTTTGGGACCGCAGAACCAGGAGAGGTCAAGAGCAGGCTTGCCTCGATTGATTACAAGCTGCCTTTTCTGGAGCCCGTGCCTCGTCGAGTATTATCTGAATTATCTAACTAATTAGCCATGGCTAATCATATCCTCCATGAATTTCCCTCCAGGTGATTTGCAAGGTTGCAGCGCACGGGCAGCTGTGTGTTTTCTGAGTCGCCTCGGCCTGAACCCCCCTGCTTGGGAGCCTCTGGACTCTGATCCATGCAAATGGCCGAGTTCTTCGAGCCAGCACTGTAGGGCCCGGCGCACTTTTGGAGGAATGAAGACAGCACCTCTCTGGGACTCGTGAAAGGAGCCCCGCTTTTTCTGGCTTTTAGGGAATTGGTTCATTAAAGCGAACCCAACTCCTCGAGCCGTGATCTCTTTCTTTCCCCTTTCCCCTTGAGCACAAAGTCTGAAAAAAGCCAGGCTGCTTTTATGAGACTCGGAGAGGGGCCGGCCATGCCCGAGGCTCCAAGCCCTCCTTCCTAATTGATTTCAAAGGCGCAGAGCCCTAGTCATTCTTTCCCCCGCGCACATTGTATTTTGTGGTTTCGAGTCAGGATAAATAACCTTTTCAGTCTGGAATTTGGAGAGCACTCTGTGAGCAGGCTCGTAAAATGGCTGATTGGGCCACATATCATCCACTGATTAGAACAGGGAAGGTGGTTCTGCTCTTTCTTTAGTCTCCAGGATGCCCCTTATCATCCCAGCCGCTCTGATCTTTTTTTCCCTGGATTGTGGGTAGGCAGCCAAACCTCTGTGGGGTCTGTAGCGATGCCCAGAGACCACCCCAGATACATTCTGACATCGAATGCTGGGCAGCACAGTCTGGCCAAATGGATTACACTCATGTATCTGTGTAAACCCGCCATCTGTTTGTTCCAAAATGGCTCCAAACTCTTCCTGGTTCCCTCTCTCTCTCCCCCCACGGCTCATTCTTCTTTTCCTTCTGTTTAAAATTGTGTATAACTTGCAGTGTGGGAGAATGTATGTTCTTTCCCTGTTTATTTTGACAGCCTGTTTCAATATTTATATGTCTGCTATTTTTACCCCCCAGAGGTCTCACTTATATACAGTTTCTCTCCTTACAGGTAATTTTTCACATCTTTTAAAATAGTGGACTCAGTCCTGCTCGTGGGCTTTTTATTGTTTTTTGAGGGGGGGGAGAAGGGTGTTGTTACTTATTTTTCACCTTCTCCTTCCTTCCCTGCCTTCACTCTCTGGCAAACTCAGTAATATAATGGCATGGACAGTACTTAAAAAAGAAAGAAAAGAAAGTACAGTTCACACCATTAAAAAAACAACAACAACCCCAAAACCGTCCGCTTTTAGGCGACTGGCCTTGAATAACATTTTAAGCTCCACTTTTTGCACATTAGCAGGGGCCGCGGTGCTCAGGAGAAAATCGCTTCTGCGAAAACAGTAAATTACGGCACAGAAGCTGCCCGCTTTGGAGCAGAAGTGCCTACTGAACAGCCATAATTGCTCGGGGTATTAGTGGCAATACGAGCCCGAGCTTCTGTTGTCAGGATTGGTCTGATACAACACATTGTCTGCAAAACCGAGCGGGAAGCAGAGCATAATGTCTTTCACGACTGTTATGTATATCTCGGACCCTGCCACGCACTCACCTCCTGCCACCCCGAAACCTCCTCGCTGTTCTTTACATCTCCTGCCGTTGCTTTTCCCATTCAACCCCAGGATATTGGCAACCTGGCCAAGTGGCGTGCCCAACAGGTCGCGTAGGGCGAGAAAGGGAGGAGTGGGCTCTGGATGGTTTGGGGGGCTGCCCACCAGTGACACGTGGTCCTCGTCTTCGTAAGTGGCAAACCCCATCTGGAGGCCAGGGGACCTTTCTCCTGAATGGCAGCGCTTTCAAGGCCATAATGAAACTCTGGGGCAGGCCGAGGGTCAGGATTTTAAGCAGGCAATCCAGCTGGACACTCTTCCGCTTCTGGTGGAAGACCTTCTAGGAGTTGGTTTGGGAGGAGTGCCCAGACCCAAGAGATCCTCTGCTTGTTTGGGATAACAGTATTGTTAGAGCACTTTATTACCAAGGCTTCTGGATGCTGGTTCTCATTAACTCCAAGCCTGATCTATCAGTTTTGCTCGCCTTCCCTTTTCGCTGGCCTCTTACAGCTGTCTTGTTCTCTTGCAGATTTAAACGTAATGACAATTAACTAGCCTTCCATTCCCTGGCCCCACTGTTGCTGAAACTGGTGATGGGGCACGGGTGGGGACTCTAGAAAGGCCGGGCAGCATCACAGCAGCCCCTCGGCCTTAGAGAGATTGCTGGAACTACAACTCCCAGCAGCCCTGGGCAGCCTGACAAATGGAGAGGGATGCTGGGAGTTGTAGATGAGCAGCCTCAGGTCACGTGTTCCCTCTTGCTGCTGTCCATTTTTTGGCACCCAGCATGGCAACAGTAGAAATAATGCCCCTGATTGTTTTTTAAGGACGCAGCAGGCTGCCAAGTCATTTTTCTTTGATCTGAAGCAAGTCCTGCTGGCAGGGCAGCCGCAAGATCTAATCAATTTCCCCGGCTTGCAGATCCTAATTCGGCGTAATAATGGAGCTGCTGGAGGAGGCCGGCATCGATCGCTGGCTCCTGGACAACAAGATCTCCTTCTTGCTACGAAGTGGTAGTGTGTTTGTGCCTGGGAGAACGGTGCACAACTGCAGGCATATCTACACCTTCTGGGTTGATGTATGTTTGGGGGCCACTATGACCCGAGAGGAGAACCTACCCCAGAAGTTGCTGTTCTGCCATTTCCTCTCATCACCTTTCTTGCGGGGGCTACAAGAGGCTCAGACTGTAGAGAGCCCCCCCCTTTCTTTCCACTAATAACCTGGATGGGGCAAGTCCAGCGTTGCGTTTCCCTTCCCCATGATGATGATCCTGGGGGGCTGCCGGCTCCCACTTGCTGCACAGAGTCAGGTAGAAACGTTGAGCTGGTTTTCCCTGGCAGTGGAACTTTATGCTCTTTCCTTACCCGATCTGGCAGTATCAAAAAAAGAACCGCGTGGCCCTTTCACCAACGTTTAAACAGATGGATTAGCCTTCCTCGTGTTACTGCTGTTCCATGAGAAAGCTCACCCACCCCATTTTTCCCCCCCGTTGGCTCAGCAACATCGAGAGCATCCACAAAGTCAGGATTGTCCACCAGTAGAGCGGCTGGAAATGCGCCAGGGGTCCTTTGTCCAAGTGATGAAGCACTAGTGGAATGATTTTAAATGGTTCTCTTAAATATGGTCAGAGTTTTAATCGATCAGTCGATTGATAATGTACCATCAATTCATTTTTGAAGCCTAGTGACCACATTGACATACCTTCTGCAGGATGATCTGTCCCCAACATGGTCCTTCAGGTCTTCCAAAGGTGTCCCCATCCCCACCATAACTGAGTCCTTCACCCTTCCCCAGCGTCAGAGCCTTCTCCACAGAGCTGGGTCTTCGCATCATGTGTCCAAAGTAGGATCATTTGAGCTCGGCCAGTGGGAACTCTGGGTTGATTTGTTCGATGGTCCATTCCCTTTTTGGGTGGACGGCTCTTCAGTTGCCAGGAGCTCCCCAAAACTCAATCCAGATCTTTGGGTACCTGGAGAAGGAGAACTTCTCTGGCGCTAGCACAGGGATGGCCCACCTGTTTGTTCATTCCCATAGGAATCGTTGATGGTATGGAGGTCTCCGTCCCCTGCCAGAGTTTGCCTGGTGTTGGGCTGGATCTTCCCCAGGGGGCAAAAGACAGCTTGCTGTTTTTTAATAGCGACCCCTCGGCCTTGCTTTGGTCTTCCCGTACTCATGGAACCCAGAGCGCCGCTTCAGTTGCCGGGCGTAGTTTGGATAAGGTTACCCCTGTGCTGCTCTGTGTGAAAGGAGCAAGATGCTCTTGTTCGGGCCTGGGATCCCTTCACAGATCCCCTTCTGTATCCCCGGCGCTCAAGGCAGCCGCCTGATTTTTGAGAGGCCCGCGGAGGAACTGTAGGAATGCAGAACAATGGGGCTCAGACTGCCCCGCTCCCGGGGATTGGATTTCAATGTTAATTTTCCTGGCATGAGTTGTGATGGTTGGAGATTTATGTGGCGGGTATGCTGGTGCATATGCACACACGCGCTCTTTCTTTCACACTCAGTCCAACTGAATAAAGCCCAGAACGGCTCGCTTTTCCTTCACCCTCCTTCGATTTCGTGAATGAAGGGAGCGTTTCAGTCCCTCCGTGAATACCCGTTTGTGCTGGGCCGTTTAGAATCTCGGTCCAGCTGCATCAAGGCATGAGAGGAGCCTTAATGCCTTCAGGCCTAAAATAGCCCTGGGACCTCCAGATGCTTTGGCCCTCGACGCCTCTTGGGCCAGCCAGGCTGAGATCGCTAGTCTCCCAGGAGATCCGACCCCTACGCCCCTCTGGCCGGCAGCAGTCAGTCCGCGCACCCCAAAGAGACCCTGCAAAAGTAACGGGAAAAAAACCCCATTCAGATTGGTTGGGTTCTTGCTGGTTGATCAGCTTTTAAAAACTGAACTGCGGCAAAACTCCATTTCCTTGCTTTGACTAACAGCTGAAGAGTTGTTCTCCTGAGGCTGGCAGCCCTCGTGCGTTCCCGGCTGTGCTTTAGTTATTGGCAAAGCAGTCTGAAATTTAAAGCACCCCCGGTGACCGCCATTCCCGCACCATTCCGTTCTTCCGTGGTAACGGATCCAAGCCTTGCCTCTCTTCCCCACATAGAGTTTCGGCTTCGAGGCAAACTCAGTATGCCCGGTCCAGAAACGGGCATTTCACCTGCTTCTCCAGTGCCGGAATCGCTTGTTGGTTTGTTCAGAAGCTAGCCCTCCACCTTTCCGTTCTCCGGCGAGGCTGAGAACAGCAGAACAAAAAACTGAATCGTATTAAAACTGGAAGGACAAATGTGGATGGCTGAGATCAAAGAGATCTCTGGAATTTCTTCGGAAGAAGGACAGGTGATGACAAGAGTCCAGTTTAGACAGCTGTCCCTGGTCCATACAGGCAGCCAGGAGTTAGACTTGGCTCAGTGGCACCCTACTAATAGTAATATGCCCAAAGATTTCACCTTCCCGAGCATAAGCGTTCGTACCCACCCCTCAGTAGCATCTGTAGACCCCATGGGTGGGACCAAAGGTCCCTTCCATCAGGCCACCGACCTCAAAGGAAACAGGTGCAAAAGCCCACTTCACGTGCTTTTCCCAAGAGCCATTGATAAATTGATTCCCCCCGTAAATCCCCTGGATGGATTCTTCCATTTAAACCCCCTAAACTCTCTCATCCCTGACTTTGTGCTTTGTTGGCTGGGGCTGATAGGAGCTGTAGTCCCTATCCTTCTGGTTTTCTAGGAAGGCGGTTTCCATAAATCACCTGGGTGGTCCTTCTGTCCCTCTTTATGTGACCTTCTGGGCAAAAGGTGACCAGATTCCTTGGTAGGAGGCTGAAGCCACAGATGGAGCAGAGCAAATGCCCAGTTGGGTTGGGGCCGTCCACAATGAGCATCGCTGAAGTTGATACGAACATTAGCTTCATGCCCAGAAGGTGAAAAAGCCAAAAAGCCAGCCTTGAGGGCCGCCGCCTTTTCCTCTGGCTGTTACTTAAAGCCGAGCCTACCTGTTGGCCTTTCCTCCCTTCTCCCTTCTCAGCTGCTTGCCTTTTGGAGCAATGGGGCTGCCTCGGAATATTCAGCTGAGTATTGGCTTTGAAAGCAGCTCCCCGCGTTGCCATCTGCTCCTTCTCACTTAATCCCTGCCGCGCACTGAAGGCGTATTCAATTTGTGGGCAACAGGAAACCCGATTACAATAACTGTGCGTTGATAGAAGCAGCGCGTTCTGAACTTCCTTCCAGAGCCGAAAGCGAAGGAAGGGCAACGTGGTCCCGATGAAGGACAAGGGCTCTGCTGCAGGATGTGGGGTTGGCACGGGGCTGTGCAAGGGAGGCTCCTT